GGGAAAGGTCATCTTCCGCAACCTCCAATCTATGGATGTATTATACTTTTTTAACCAGGAAAGACCAAGAATAACAAGATTTGATGAGGTTCTAATAATATTGAAAATAATATGACTACTATGGCCCTTAAACGTCACTTCTATAGGTTTTGATTCATGGGTGACACTACCAGACAATAAAGGTCACCCATCTATAATCTCAACGTGAACAAGTTTGGATTTTTGTACTAAAGGGATCTTATGACACTTTGCAAATTCTTTGTCTAAGAAACAAGCAGATGCTCATGAATCTAATAATGCTAAGGTTCTCAGTTTCTGAGGGCCAATAAGCAAAGGGATTGTAAAGCAAAGGGCAGGTTGAGTTGGAAAGAAAGGAACCTGGTTGTTGTTGCGATATTTCACTGTCCAGCCGCACTGTTCCTATTGTGGCTGGGCATCCTTGTTTTCCTGAACAAACGCGCCCCTAGTCCTGACAATATGTCGATTTTGCTTCTTGGAGCAGTTTCTAACTTTGTGGCCTTCTTCACTCCAATACAAGCATAGACCTTCCTCCATACGCCACTTTTTTTCTTCTAGAGTGAGGGATTTGACACGTACCGCATTAATTTGCATGTCTTCTACCTCTGAATGTGAATTCATGGTGCTTGCCGACATAGTTGGGGCATGGCGAACCGTATGTTGTCTTGAACGTTGATCTTGGCGACATTGGAATAGGTGATTATCGTACTTCACAGCTTCGTTAATAGCTTCGTTGAGCATTTGTGGATCAGAAAGAGTTAACAACAAATCATTCACATCATCCCTTAAACCCCAATAAAATTGACTCATCAATGCTTCTTCGTCCCAATTGATGTCGCATGCTAATTGCCTGAAGTCCGATGCATAGACTAATATAGAGTGCATCCCTTGTCGTAGTGACCAGATCTTTGTTGTAGCCCATCGAACCTTGTCGTGTTCACCAAATGCTTTCGCAAATGCCTCCAAAAAGGTTTCGAAGTTGTTTAGTATGGACGATCGTTTCTCAAACAAATGAGCAAACCATGATAGAGCTTGCCGTGTAAGGTTCCAACAAGCCCAACATGTGACTCCTCCGTTGGATAGCGTTCGGGCTGTAAAACTATTATCAACCTGATTTGAATGACGAATCCTTGAAACTTGGAACGCGTACCATCGAACTTGTCCGGAAGGCTAATTCGGGGCTCTTTATGTTGTAGAACCAATGGTGCTTGTCGAAATTGAGGCAAAGTTGCTTCTCCAAGTGTAGAAGTTTGAGGCTGGTGCAATCTAGATTGTGCCATCCCAGATGCTCCATCATTATGAAGCCTTGCCACAACTCCTTCAATCTCTGCAATTCTTTGCAATAACGTAGCGAGGGCATTCATGATAGTATCTAACTTGGACTCTGAACTTTCCGTCATACTAATATCTTGGCCTCCGGCCATTCTAAGAGAAGGACAGAAATGACTCTACAAGAAGACAATATTAGTTTAGAGGAAGGTACTCCGCAACCTCTAAAATGCCTTAAGAGCTTCAAGAAAAGGGATAATCCACTCTCTCCAAGAAGAATAAGACTCCAATATTGTAACAAAAGAAGTATCAGTTTAGAGGAGGGTAATCCGCAACCTCTAAAATGCTAGTACACTTCCAAGCAGAGGGGTAATCCGCACTCTAACGAGGAAGAAACTAACTCTAATATCTGAGGTGAGTGAAGTCTCGAAAAACTGTCATGGACACAGAAATACAGACTCGAGATCTAACAAGAAGTTCAAGAAGAACTAGCAAGAACTAGATTAATCAGATGAATACAAGAACAATACCAGAGAGGTGAGCTAGAGCTCCAAGAGATGTGTTGTCGAGATTGAAGAATTCTTCAGCCTCGATTCCAATATATACTCTTATTTAGGAAGCTTCTCAAGCAACTTCTATCAACTAGGAAGCTTCTAGAAGGTTCCAGAGACTTGCTTCTAGAAGGTTCTAGAAACTTGTCTCTAGAAGATTCTAAGGACTATGTCCCTAACATCTTCTATCAACTAAAAAGCTTCTAGAAGGTTCCAGAGACTTGTTTCTAGAAGGTTCTAGAAACTTTTCTCTAGAAGGTTTTAGAAACTTGTCTCTAGAAGGTTCTAGAAACTTGTCTCTAGAGGGTTCTAGAAACTTGTCTCTAGAAGGTTTTAAGGACTATGTCCCTAATATTTATTCAATATTAGATTATATTATTTAAAAAAAGATAAAAATATTAATAAAATAGATTCTAAATGAGTATTCAAATAAACTTGATTGTAATCCTAGAGTTAGATATCTTTGAAGTTGAAGTCCAATGACTAATTATACTCGATTGGTGAATCCTCAAAACTTTGATCTTATGCCATTAAACTTCTTAGGCAAGGCAATACTTAATTTTATAATGCTTGAACAATGTTCTACTATAGGAGAAGTAACATGATTTGGTATAGATGTTGAAGCAACTCCAATCATCTTTATATCTTTACTTCCTATCAATTTTATTGCTCTTTGTGGTAGTAAGTTGAGTTGATGCATTGTTAGCATTAATTCTCTCATTTGCTCTTGCATTTGTGCCATTACATTTGTTATTTCAACAAGTTTTTCCATGGAAATTTAATAAAAAATAAATTATCTAATATCACTTAAAATAAGTAAAAGGTAGGACTTGAGAACAAAAAAAAAATTAAAATATTAATTTAGAAGTGGATAATTTATAACTTCTAATATGCTTTTGTCTTATTAAGAAAAATGAATAATCTACTCTTAATTAAAAAAAAGACAAAGCTTTGATATTGTAAGTATACTCTTATTAATCTATCAAAAATAAGAACTTGAAGAATATAAATAAATAAGTGAAATATTTCTCAAAGAAAGATGAAAATATATATATATATATATATATATATATATATATATATATAGTAAAAGAAATTCGAATGACTATTGCTAAAGATTAAAAAATCATAAACTCTAAAAATTAAAGTAGAAGCATGAAAGGAGTTGACAAAAATGAAGAAGGTTTTATCATTGTCTCTATATATATTATTTAACTACAAGCTAAGTGGTGACATTCTATAAAACCATTAATATGTGTCCAACTTATAAGACAATTTATATGATACCTACATGGCCAACTTGTACCACAAATTACCAACATGTGAGACACTTGGCTAATTTGTTTGCAAAGTTTCAACTTATCAATTACCTACAAATACATGAAAAGTCAAATTTGCATCTATGAAGCTTTTAGAATGCTTATCTATAAGATATTATCAAATCTACTTACTTCTACTTACTTCTATTCAACACCTTTAATCTAAGTAAATATGTATGTCTATAACATAAAATTTTAAATATTATAATTACTTTATTGTTGTGTATGCATTATGTTTATCATAATATCAATTATACCATTAATTTCCAAAGATACTTATAAATCTCTATGAATCATTTTATTTTATATTTTTTATATTTTTTATAAAAGTCCTATATGTAAAATTAAGTTTTTTAAATAATAAAATTAAAATAATATATATATTTATGTACATAAAAATATTCTTTAATATATTTATTTGTTAATTTTTTAATATCATTTTTTAAAATACTAATATTAACAACAAACATTATTTGTAGATTTTATATAGGCTTTAGCTGCAAGTACATCCCAAATTGCCATTTGCACACCTATTATGTCTACACATACACTCAAGGCTTCTAATTGGCTCTTCTAGATCCTCTCTTCTTTGTTTTGGAGTAGGTCTTGGAGCTCTTTTTCTTCTTCTACTTCTTTATTCTAGTCCCTTCTTCTCCTTCTTCTTCATTATGACATGGGTCTTAGATTTCTTTTCCAACTTTTTAGCCTTGCTGCCAAATCAAGAAAAAGGAAAGAAAAAAATAAAAAATAAAACTAAGATCCACATTGAAACACGAAAGAGAAAAAAAAAAAAAAAAAAAAAAAAAAAAAAGACTAAGACTTATACCAAGATAAGGAAGAGAGGGTCTAGAGCAACCAATCAAAGGTCTTAGATGTGTGTATAGACATAATGAGTGTATATAACAACTTGAGGTGGGCTTGTAGCGGAAACCTTTTACATGATATATTTTCAACATGTATATCTAAAATCATTTTAAATCATACTTGATTAATATTAAAAACATATCATAAATAAATAAAAACTCAATGAATAATAAATTTATCAAATATAGTATATAAAATATAAATTAAGTTAATATATATATATATATATATATATACATATTTTTTTAATATTAATACCTATGATAAGAACATATATTTCCTATAACAAAATCTTTGTCTAGCAATAGCATCTTTAAATTTGCAATTTTACAATTCAGATTTATAAGAAAATAGTCTGAATTCAAGTGTTTAGGTTTTTTAGTACATACACATTATTATTATGTATGTATGTAGGTTAAAACTACACATTATTATTATTATGTACGTAAGAATATATATATATATATATATATGAATACAAACATAATAATATATAATGTATATTCACACGTAGATATATTTTTTTTATTTTTTTCAAGTCTCAAAATGAAACAAATTGTATTCCAGCATACACACCAAAAGAAAAAAAGATGAAGAGATAAACCGGTAATTGTTTAACAATCAATGGAGATTAGAAATTCTTAAATCTTATTGTGTGGCTGAAATCTTTCAAATCGCAATCCAAACCACGCATTCCGAAACCTCAATCCAAACTACAGGGCTCTGTTGAAAAAGATGCCAGGGAACAAATGTTTGCAGTTGTGGGTTTTCCTACAGAAACGTATTACGCTAAACAACCTCCATCGCCGCATGATGTGGCGAAGGTCCACAAATCATGACCCGAGAGAAAAACCAGGTTTAGCTTCACAGAAACAGAAAGCAAAAATGAATCGAAGCTAAACACAACCCAGTAACGCAGAAAATGCCTCCACAACGCAGCCTCACACGCTACAGCAACGCATAGTGAAGGCGTGTTTGCACAATTCCACATACCATATAATATCACACACAAACACATGTCTGTATATATTTCCCGTTGGTTCCACGGTTGCTGTTTGATTCTAGAGCTTCGTCCCACCTTTGCGCTGTCTGCTCTGTGTGTTTGTTTTCTTGCATTCCACGGCTCCACAAGTTCCTACGGTATCAGATCGGAGAGTTCCGCTGACAAACGTCTTCTTAGTCCAGCTTTCAAAGTTGGGTCCCTGGAGTATTCGTCTCTGTGCAGGAAGAATCTTGAAGAAGGGTTACTCAAGCCGTTGGCAGAACCATGGTATGGGTTTGTGGTCGGCGTGTTGAGAAACTAGGTTTTGAGTATCGACCATTTTGTGGGGTGTTGAGGGATTGGTAATAAGTTATTGGAATTTTGAATCTGGTGGTGAGGTGGTATTGTGGTATCCGATGCATCTGGTTTTCGTCTGTTTGTCTGTGGGTCGAAGTTGTGTTGGCCTGTATGGTAGCGGGTGTGTTGTCTCGATCGTGCTTTTTCTGTGAGATTTGTGGGTCTAGCTCGGTGTGGCTTAATGTGAAGGTGTAAGGAATTACCTGCCAGTGTCGGCAGGTGAAGTTGGTCGGCGGGGTTTTCCCATCGCCTTTGTCACCTTTTTCTGTAAAGATTTTGAGGTCGAGAGTCGGCACTGAGCAATGGTTGTTCATGATTTCTCTGTTTTCGCTTGTACGAGGGTTGATGTGGAGTATCTCAGTGTTCCAATTTCCATGGACGTCCATAGAATTCGTTGTTGTGTTATGGTTACCGATCACGTCAGAAACCGAGTTGTTTTGCGGGAACAAAATTTATTTCGTTTGGTTTGTCGGTAATTCATTTGTGAAGTTTATTCGAAGTTGACCCGCCAAGGAGACGCATTTCCAAGTACTCATTGGATGATTTATCTCAGTAGTGCTGAACCAATTTTCTCTTTTAATGGGGTTTGCTTGTGCATTGCAGAGTTTCCGCAAACCTGGTATGGGACCCGCTAGGCGGGACAAGGCCAAGCCCGGCCGGTTCCAGGGTCTTACTGATGATCAGAAACAGGAGATTCGTGAGGCCTTCGACCTCTTTGATACAGATGGTTCCGGTAAGTACCATCAAACCGCTGTAATTGGTGGGTGAAGTTCGAGCTTGCTCCAAGCTTCTCATTTGAGATTCACCTATGAGTTTGTGTTTGTGTTTGTGTTTTGTGTGATAGGGACGATTGATGCTAAGGAACTCAAAGTCGCCATGAGGTAAGCAAGTTCATGCATATATTCTAGTATTAATGTTCGATTATGGGACCTGCTGGAAGTATTCGAGCAGCACAGGAATTTTCTGAAGGTGTACCTGGAGCTGAGTGTTGGCGTATCATTCCGTTGTGTGTGACAGGGCTCTTGGTTTTGAACCTAAAAAAGAGGTCAGTTTCTAGCTTTTCTACTATTCGGAATTCGTTTGTTATTGATCATTATTTTTTGAATAATGGCATGATTTATCTGCTGGACTGCCTATTGGCTGTTCAGATCTAAGTTCTTCAATTAGCAGTGTGGTTTTCAGATAACATCCTTGAATACCTAAGTGGAATCTTAGTTCTTATAAGAGCCAATCAAGTTACATTATGATTGATACACGATAACGGTAGTGCAGGAAATCAAGAAGATGATTGCTGATATAGACAAAGATGGAAGCGGTACTATTGATTTCGATGAGTTCGTACATATGATGACAGCAAAAATGGGAGAGCGCGACTCCAGGGAGGAGATCATGAAAGCCTTCCGTCTCTTTGACGATGACGATACAGTGAGTATTCTTGAATCATTGAATTGCTTGTTTAAATAACCTAGAATACTGTTGGCCTTCCATTTACTTGTAGCTAATCTGTTTGATAAGTGTATGTTGATGGATGACAATAATCGATCACACAGTGTTTCTCAGTACGTCAGTGTGGCAATTCTTCGATTGAATTTCCAAACATGCAAGTGAAGATATTAAAATCGGTTTAGGAGTAATACTCACAGTTGAAAAGACAAATATTAAGTTGGGGCTTGATGTTTGCATCGAGGTCGATGAAGTTAATCGTGCTTTCTTCATGGGTAGGGGTGTAGAATCAAATTGAGGTATATCGCGTATGAACCCAAGTGAAAGAAAAGACAATCTCGGAACTCCGTGGATATTTTCAATTAGAAACACCCATGCACCTATTGCTTCCAACAGTACTGTCACAAAGAGATTGACTCATGTTTGTAGCCCTTTGTTAAAGCTCTGTATTAGTGATGAAATCATGACAACCAAGTCTTCCACTGTAGGGCACGATTACATTCAAAGATTTGAAGCGGGTTGCACGGGAGCTGGGTGAAAATTTGTCCGATGCAGAGTTGCAGGAGATGATTGAGGAAGCCGATCGCGATGGTATGGTTACAATCTTGATTGACGGCACAGACTTCAAGATACTGCATGGTTCAATGCGAATGCTCTTAACTTCATTGTTATAGAAATACCAGTATTTCTCATAGCCCTTTCTGCATTGTTTATTCATAGCTGATGTTGTGTTCAATTCCTGACTTGGAAACAGGCGACAATGCGGTCAGTGAGGACGAGTTTTACAGAATCATGAAGAAAACGAGCCTTTTTAACTAAGACTTCTGTTCTCTCGCACGAGATCAACTGAATGGTGGCTTTTCCTCAAAATGTAGCGTGGGATACTGATGCTATGCTGCCGCCACTGAGATTTTCGCTGTGGGGATTTGGCCACCAGGAAGGGTGATTTGCATTTTGTATATTCCTCACAGTAGCTCATGCAACTTAGCATAAGTATACAGAACGTTAAGGTGCACTGTTTCTACGTCGAATGAGATTTTTCCACTTCCCATGTTTGAAAAGGACTTATTTTCGTGTTATGTTTTTTTGTCATTATTTGCTTGCGTATGCACTTTGGTAAACGTGTTTTCAACACCGATAATTGCGGTTTCTCTTAGCACATGATATAGTGTGGAAAATATGTTGCAACTCGTTACGAAAATGAACATCCTGGAAATGTGCTTTGGATTGTAACGCTCAAGCACCGGTGTCGATGCCCTAAACCACAACTGCTTTGTGTAAGTAGCCTAGCTTTGAGGGGCAATCGTGAGACTCAAAGCTATTTTTCAGCGACTGAAAGCTACAATTGCAGTGTTGTTTGTCCTAGTAGCGTGCTGGTGAAGTTGTACTCATTGTTGATTACTACCTAAGAACTTTTTCTTATCCACACAATCGAGAAACTCGCACATATCAAATTCTGAAGTCAAACAGCATTCAAGTAAAATAGAATGGAACGTAGACAAACTAACTTTCAGATAGTCAATGTCCAAATCCTTCAAATTTTGTTTGATGTCATTAGATGTCTGCAAAAAACACGCTAACAAAAACCCCTAACAATTTACACCAAACCTTCTGAAATCTAGTGCACTTCAAAGAGTCTACCTCCTCTTACTATCATCGACGGGAACGGGAGTATACTTGCAACTAGGTTGTCGAACTTTCCTGTTTGGAATTGCATTTATTCCTGAATGCTGCCCCCTGTCTTGTTTCGAAGCCTTGTAGAGCGAGATGAGAGAAGATTTCACTTCACCGTTGGGACAGCTCCATGAAGAATCTAAGCCGTCGTGAACTCGCTCCGACTCCACTTTCATCCAGGTATTGAAGGAAAGGCTAAGTGGCCGTCTCTCCCCGGGCTCGTCTTCAGGGACCTTGTTGCGATCTATTCTGGTCTTGGCTGAGAAAAAAGATTGGAGGCCTATTGGTAAACAAACTGAGCCTTCACCAACTTTCACAGACTCCCGTTTCACCCTACCCATGCTGTCATCCATAATGGTATACTTGACCAGAGGAGGATGCCCTGCGGCTGGAACCCCTCTAACTCGCATTCCTTTGTGGTGTAGGCAACGTTTACGGCCTTTGACGGGAGCAACATCACAAGGTATACCTTTGTCTGTTAGCACTCCGCACCTGAGCTCCATGGAGGCCGTCTTCCCTGGAGTGAGGACATTCGCTGGGACAGGAGATTGCATCTGCATGCAAAAGCACGGGTTTGTATTTATCATGCTTTTGTTCGAATTTGATGAAGTATCTTGAGGCTTCCGCAAGGCTACCTTGATGCCTACAGCATTGGTGCCGCAAAGGAGAAATTTCTTGCCCGAAAAAACGGGCTTGCAGAAGGGATCATTAGTAGGCCAAGACATGAAAAGCTTGGCAAGAATGTCGCGAGAACGGCGGTTGCCATTGCTGCCTTTATTCCACGCGTAGTCGAAGACAGCCAGAAGTTCTGATTCCACTTGCTCAGCCATTACTTTACTATCTGTCTGCAAGGACACACACGAGAATAGGGTCTGCTTTGAATCGAAGTGCACGAAGCTCCATCCAATTTTCAACATGAATGATTGATTGATTGTTCGATCGATTGAGGCACACACTGAACAGTTTAAGAAGTAGTTCACATTACGTTGAGAGGTCTAACAGGGACAAGCAAAAAAGCTACAACACGTCAATCGGCGTAAATTGATCAATTCAATATGATGAGATTTGAACTCTCCCACAGCAGATCTTACATGTGCCCACCGAAAAGCAACAGAACTGCCGAGAGCAAAAACCTCCGAAAAAAGGCGAGGACTGCTATTAGATCTCTTTACTCCACTCTGATCTCCACTTTGTGAGCGGAGACTGCTACTGCTCCCGCAAGATACTGAGTCGTCGTTTCCTCGACAGTATTTTGTGGATCTGCAGCAAAAAACATCTGTCAGAGACCTTGTTGCCAAGTTTCCGTTCATCAAAGTTGGAAACCACTGATTAGGCATTAAGAGATGGTCGCCTCCCTGGAATGCATGGTTTCGGCAATGTGATGGAGAATCCTTACCCTGAACCTTCAAGGTGCGAACCCGCCTGCCCATATTGCTGGAGACGTTGACGGATATTATCAGCTTGACCAACGTACACGGCCAAAACATCCTCCCTTTTCAAGCTCCGTCTACGCTGACTGTGAGAGGTTGGAGTCCATGACGGAGCTGTCACACCCAGTTCATAAACTCCTGGCCCAAAATGAGAGGCCGGAAGGTTGTGAAGATGGTATCTGTCTATACCATCCTTCCCCGCCGAATGTTCGCTCCAGTCTGAAGGACCTACTAGAATCTGCATCACATTATTGCAAACACAATCAAATCCCAATAAATTAGAATTTGCGAGAGCCACTGTATTACCCAAAAAGCTAGGAACTACCATTTTGTGATTTTACCACTCTCCACGACTGCATCAGCGAGGTACAATATTCAGTCCAGTTTCTTCCGAACACAAGGATGACTAAAATCACAACCCTAAGAATAGGAAGAACGTAGTAAACTAGAAAAAAGATGCAGCACGCAACTAGAAACCCAATCTTTGTTGCACTGCATCAATATTTTACAAACTATACTTTTCAAAATGATTCCAAATGCAGTTGCAATTGTGGGAGAAATTTTCATGAGTGGAAGATAACCCAGGCAACGGATCGATATAGAAAATCCTCTCTAGAAACATTTTTACGACAATGTAAAGACCGTTCGCATTTGCGTGACAAGAGAAAGGCTCAATTCAGGCTTAACCGGGATGGCAATGCTACCTTCCATTTGGAGAAAAGCTTGTCGTGTTTGACATATTCACAGTCCTCTCGTCTCAAGCGTCTCTTCACGCCAGACCATTCACTCCGCTGCTGGACAAGCACCTCCTCTGAGGTGCGACTGTAAAACAAAACCCCCATTCTCACTATTTCTTCACATTCGCAGGCGTTTCGGCTGAATGCTAACCTTCCACGAGCTCCCAAACCTGCTGCATTCTTTCCTTGCCCTATACATTCAACTCACACCTAATACACCATACGAACTTAAATCGACTATCGAAACTTTCCTGGTTCCCGCCCAAACTGTCCCGAGATAAACCCTGTGCCTGGGCGATCAGTTTCAGCAAATCTCGGGGTCAGACTTGCGACAATTCCACACCTCGAAATGTGGAACACTTCATGAACCATACTTCTTACTGCAGAATCTCCTGCGAACCCCAGTTCCTACCAGTGCAGAATCCGCGACTTGACACCAAAGCATCCGAGACCCATTCCAACCGATGTTGTGAACAGCATGCATCAAGAAAACGAACCCAGCTCTCCGACCTTCAAATGCAACTAGCAAGTGGACCAACTCCAGACCTTCAACGAAGCTCGTGCACGCTGGTGATCGATCCAACTGGGTCCGTCTCCCAGCGCTCCTCACCCCATCAAGAGCAAGGAAAGCCATGCTGACTACCCGCATGCTAAAAAAAAACAAACACTGTCATGACCCATTTCCACCGAAAATCCTCCACTGACTGAATGATCTCCCACCATCACCTCCGTGGCCCAAATTTATCTTCAATGGAGCACTTCATATTTTGTCCATACAAAACACATCTTTGTATATCAGCTTTCATTTTAGAATAAAATGGTAATGAAAGAGCATGATCTCATGAAAAGATGTCATGAAAAAAAATATATATATATATCCTAAAAAAAACAAATTGTTGTGTGTGTGTGTATTCATTCCCCGAATCTGCTGCTATCTAAATGAGCCAAACCTTCAAAGTTTTGTTTGTGGGTTATTGTCAGATAAATGGAGGAAGGGAAGCAGGAATGTCAACATGTTTATTTCGATATATGTATGTATGTATATCCGTATTTTGATGAGGTATAACACTGACAAATCGACATTCATTACTGTGCTTACAACTTAGCCAATTCCACACCCATTTTACGCTTGAAAACAATAGATAGATGAAAAAGACGTTGCGCACATGAAAAGACATACGGATGAATGGTGTTTGACTTGACTTAGTCCATTATGTGGGTAGAATTCCATCCATGACGTACCATCACCCACGTAAAAAACGGACCAATAGTTGCAAATCAAATTATAAAATATAGAAGCCTGTTTGTTTAATTGTTTGTTTGTTTTTTTTTTGTCTTTTTATTTGTTTTTTATTTTCCACACAAGTGTGTTCGTGGGTGACAGTGGCCTGATCACCAAACGCCTCTGCAAAATTCCTCTTGATCGTTCAGAGGATTGAGGGTGTGTGTGTGTGTTGCCAGAACTGGGTGCCACACAAAACTCTTTTTCTCTTGAACCTCCTGGTTTTGCAGTCAGCAAATTGGTATCACAGGTCACAAATTTTGGAATTAAAAATGACTGGTTGAGCATTTAAAATTAAATGAATAAATAATGCTTAAAATGAAAAGAGTAGGTTCGTTGTTTGCTTCACCATTGTTCACACCGCCGTTTCCAAATATGGACAACGTAATATAAACATGCATTGTTTTGTTTAATGACGTGGACGAACTGACTCAGCAATACATTTGTCTCTACCTGCAAACGTCCTTGATCTCACACAATTGGGGTTGCTAATATGGACGTGTAATGATGTGGTAATATGACTCTGCAAAATAGCAATGATAAAAGTGAGAACATGATATTGCACCTCAAAACATGGAAAAAAAAAAAAAAAAAAAAAAAAAAAAATGTCTTTCTTTCTATCCCTTTTCACTCCTGCAATGTTCCTCGTAACCAACGGCTTCTTTCTTTTTCCGCTGCTGGTCTGTTGATTTGTTCTACTACGCATGGAAACTATCTCAAAAGGTCATTGAAGTGGTTTTATGCCTTGCTCTATGATGAGGTGGTGGCAAGCTTTTCTGACCTTAGATTAGCTCATGATCTACGCAATCATGCAGCAAGAGCATGAACTGGTATGCAGCGGTTTCAAGCTCCTCATTGACATCTATCACACTCTACAACCTAATAGCCTCGGCACTGAATCGAACTATCAATGCTGGCTATTGATGATCCATTGTATCTGCGCATTGCTTGGCTGTTGAATCCAAGATTTAGTGCCTCTACAAAAGGGCTTCTACTTACGTAATTGACGAGCTCTTGAGATGACCATTCTGAGAAGTGGACCAAGCATCTCCTTTCGCTGCAAAAGGAAGAATCCACTGTCGACAGAGACCGTCTCGTTTGATGCAGAGCACTGTGTGCCGCGCTTAGTGTTGTTTAGATTGATTCAACAAACAGGAAATCAGCACCCGGGTTAGTGCCAACATTCTTCTTGTCTAATTCTGCAAAATGCAAATCGCCGTTTCTGATCGACTGACATTGCGAATGAGCTCGAAAAGCATGATTCGTCAACATTACGTTATATCGAGTGTCATACAGAGTCTAGAGCTAACTCTGCACGAACTATACAATGACATTTTGTTGTTGAAATTTCGGATTGCCTACTAAGTGAATCTAGACGTGAGTTAGAGCTGTAACAGAGTAAAATGTAACTTTCTACTGTAGATAGGTTGTAAATACTCTTCGATTTGTTCTTCAATTTCATTCTTAGAACCAATGTAACTCGCTCGAGGATTTGCACTGGTATGCAAGTGATTTCACGCACAATTCGATTGCGGATGTAATTTGTTAAATTCTTCCAACATGTCCGCGATAGGCATTGAAGCTGTTGTCAGTTTTAACGTGGACATGGACAACATGTGTGTGGAAACCTTCGCCTTTTCTGTGTTGATTCTTTGAAAAGAATTGAACGTTGAGGTAGGGATTATTCAAGATACACAGAAAATTATTCTGCTTGTTCTGCACAGCTTCACGCCAGGACGATTCATAAGATTATTCTTCGTTTGACATTAAAGACGCACGGTATTAAAGCAAGCTGGTAAAGGAAAGTTATTCTAAAACCATACAATGAGAGGCTTAGTTATGACTTAAGTTATTGTATAGCGTCGTATAGAAGCTAGTGGGATAAGTAATTGTGGTCGGTAGGATTAACCGAGCTACTGAAAAGAACAACTAGTGTTGAATTATTCGCATGTGGGTATGGGTACAATCCGTCAGGTTGGGGTATGATTCAGTTGTGTCTAGCAACAAATAGACACTGGACAGAGTGATTGTGACTAAAAACCTTTAAACCAAAGCGGGATTGTCTTAATAGCGATTTGGCATGACTGGGAGGGAAATTTTTAGTAGAGAACAGCTTGCTAGTATTGGAACTTTGCAATGGTCCAGGATATGGACAAGTGCTAACAATTCACTTTCCTATCAGCACGAGAAAATAAGTAAGCTAACATCACAACCTGCCGCATCAATTGAGAATCGTATTCCCACTACATCAAATATCAATCCTAGATGTTGTGGAGGGAAGCCCTGTGAACCGACATGACATTTTCAACGACTCGTCCGAACTAAATATAATATGACCTCATTCAGACAGGAAATAGAAGACCGTAAGTGAAACATTTACTTCATCTTTACTTCAAAAGTAGCATCAAATGACACAAATCGTAGGTCATGACCAACTTTGCAAATCAAATCGGCGACTAATATGGCAACCTCTAAATACACCACCTAACATGATGTGAAGAAATTAATCCACTTCCCGAGATGACCAGCTCCCTAACTGCCTGAGTCGACACCCTGCCATGCACTACTCCACTACAACCCCACCGATCTAATCAGATGCTGACATGCCGAATCCTGGCGTCACTTGTACACCAGACTTCACAACTTGCGGAGGAGAAGCTTACAAGAGATGGACATTGACTCCATTCACGTAAAAATGCCCAACACAACAACATAATAGCAGTGCTCTCATGGACCTTGAATCCTGCACACCATTTCCAATCGATCAGGCCAGAAAATGCATCCGTCGCCGCTGACGCCCATAGGATGAATTAACAGTTTACACGATATAAACCATAGGACATACCATCTACACCAATGCAAGAAGGATGACTCATACCTGAGGCCCACACCGCAACGAAAACAACCTCTCAGTAACCACCTGCAGGTGGGGAACCAGAGCCGGGAGAAGAACCAGAAGGACTTGGGGTATACGGAGAAGACGGGGTGCTGGGAGTAGGGGTAGAGGGGGATCCACCACTGGGCGTCGTCGGAGTAGGAGTATAAGGAGCAGAAGGGGTGGGGATCACCGGAGAGTCTACAGAGGGAGTAGGAGGACTGTAGGACGGAGTGTAAGGCGGGGTCACTGGGTCCGTCGAGGGAGGGGGTGGGCAGAAGCTCAAGCTCGGGAGCAAGCTGCTCAAGCCACCACTCCCACTGCCACTCCCGGGTAGAGTAAGCAATGCCCTGGCGGCATCAGCAGGAGCGAAGCAGCTGCAGCTGAGGAGAACCGCAGCAACTGCAACCAGTCTCATCGCCATAGCTTCAGAAAACCGACAGTGAACTGTATCGACAACGTCGAAAATAGTTTACAGCTGAACGATTCCGAAAAAGGTAGATGGGCGGCTGGGGGGCTGTGAGACAGAGGTGGAGAGTGGGCGGTATATATAGGACGGCAAGGAGAGTGTCCGGGTGTTGGGAAGAAGGAGTAGCAGTTATGAGAGCCATGAATGAGCATAAAGAGCAACAGTCAATGGAGTGTGTTGATGGATCCGGCACGGCCCTGCACTTCACCGAGCGGTGGCTTCAGTCCCACCTGGATCGTCTTTTATTACAATCTGTGCACAATTCTTAGAACCATAAAAGAGGTCTAGATGGACTGAAGCACGTCTTCGGGAAGGTAGTGGGTCAGGTCAGCTAACTCCGGAGCCCTTCTTCATGGCGTTCTGTTTTCTCCGCCTCAATGCTTGTGTTCGTTGCCTTCTGTTGTCAGACTGCTTGGAAACTTGCAAAATTGTTTCTTTCGTTGAGTCCAGAGTTTGAGTACATTGGACGCTCTTAGACCACAAGTGAAGAGTGTAAGAATATTAAAGTACTCATATTTTATTGTTATTTATGTTTATTATTTATGTTGTATGGCAAACAGTGCTTCATAAATGTCCACCGACTATTTGCTGCACACTGATCGACAACACCTGGAATATGTTGAGGTCTTTGCATGTAAACGAAAAACGAAAAACAAAAAACGAAAGAAAGAAACAAAGAAACAAAGAAATTTAACAATTTGAGTTTGTTGCTGTTGGTTTTCAGATGGACAATCAATGAATACTCTATTCATACTATTTTTTTATTTTTTGAATGAGGAAATGTCATGTGTTGTGGTTATCTCGAAATCATTACTTCTTTTTAAAACATTGTAATCTTTTCCTGAAATTTCTAAGTTTCAAAGAATTATAGTTGTGAAAAAAGAAAGAAAAAAATTATTATTTTTATGGAACTCACAGATCTTGGTATTCTGAATTAGTGATTTAGGGGGCCTAGAATTACGAGTATAAAATTCATAAATTATTGGAATTGTATATAGAAACAAAATTTTAGAAAAAAATATAATTTTAGGATTTAAAAATAAATAAATTTGATAAAATCTATGATAAAGAATATAATATTTTTATAATTAAAAAAACTTAGAGTAATAAACATGTGTTGCTAGAAACTACTAAGATTCATAAAGTAATAACTAAATTTTTATAGAAGTATTGAGCTACATCAAAATTTACAATTAGATAATCAAATTTTAAGAATTCAAAATATGAAAAAATAGTTATAGTTTTTTTTTTATTATAATCACCATATAGCAATCCATATTTTTCAAAAAAATATTATTTTATTAGAAAGTTGCCAATTATTTTGAACAATAATACGAGAACTTACAAGATTTTAGATTCAAATCAAAATCAAGATTAGAAATACTTTGAAAAAGTATATAATTCGATTTTAGTGGATTAAATTATTGTTGCCACCTTTTGTACTTTTAACCCAGTATTTGTTTCTTCAAAAAAAAAATCATTCACTACCATGTGAGTAAAAAATAAATGCTAAATTATCAAAATAAAATAAACTAAGTTAAATTATTTCAAAGGCTTTGAAATAAAATTTTAAAAATGACTTATCACAATGCTATTTAGTATGGGATTTTTTCAAGTAGGAAAAAAAACATATGATACATTAAATAATTCTTAAATAGAAGGTGGTTGATAGGAGTTAGAATTAATAGGCTAGAAATTCCACAATCAAACTTAATAGAAGCATTTTACTTGTTATAAGTATTGGGCCCACTTTGAAGAGTAAATGGGAGAATAAAAGACAGGCAACTTATCTTCCAAAGTGGAGTTTATATCTAAAAGCCCACTTTAAAAGGCCATAGTTTACAATTTTTACTAATTTTTTTACTTCGTGAAGAAAAATCTTCCTTTATAACCCTTAATCTTTGGATATTATATAAAATAAGAAGTTGCTATAAATAGACCAAATATTTGTTTATTTTAAATTTTAATAAGTCAATTCATATCTTCACTCTAACAATTATAAGAAGTATAAATAAATTGATTTAATATATATATATATATATATATATCCATATATACATACATAGTGGTAATTTTAAGTATTTTCTACAATTTCTTGAATTTTTGTAAAAACCACTTCTTTGAGATGGATTTAATGGAAATTTAGAGGGGCAACACTATTCATGTCATATCATGTAGGATAAAAGTGCATTCCACCTCATCTTCTCCTCTCAGGAAATTCGGACTTATTTATCTAAGTATGAAACCAACTTAACAAGGCTGCTCAATTTCAACCAATTAAAACATTTAAAAAGTTACAGGCTCTTATCTTGGTTACAATCCCCAGAGTCAAAAGTGTCCTTATGATAGAATTCACTCTTGCAGTTTGTGACTATCTAATATTCACTTCCAATATTTACAACAACGTTTGTGCCCAGGCTTTCCATGATACTCACTAGAAGAGCATTCATGTGCAGAGTTACAGTATTTTGCAAGGAAGTAAATCCACACTTCGATGGACAGCCCACATCTTAGACTCCGCGGTTTGTCTTCCACAGATGGTTCAAGCGAGAAGGACTGGGTGCAGTTCTGCAGCGTAGTTAAGTAAGGGACAAGCCCAGATGAATGAAGTCTGCCGAACTCCAACAATGAGTTGAGTGTTTAACTTGGCTCATTCGTGTTGCTTGGATGCCGTGAGTGACAATCTGACAGCCTTGTGCACACAGGACTAAACCCCACCGTCGCCACCTTAATGGGCCCACTACATGCTAGTGGAGCTTTAATGCGTGCTCTCGGGCTTTGGTGGTGTGCACATAAATGAAAACAATGTGCACTGGATATGGGCCTCAGTTCCAGCTCCCCCCTTCACTGTGCATCCACCATCTGACGACATCGAAGCCTTCATCTGCTCACAAACCAGAACGCACTGTTCACAATACACTTCTCTCACACCATGTCACCATGTGTAGAGGTCGAGTACTGCACGCTTCCAAAATCGTTTTTTTTCTTCTTCTTCCCTAAAACAGCAATTTTGAGATGATTTTGATGAGTTCTGGATACTTTGACGAGATTTGCAATTTCCCTTCATCGAACTTGTGGAATCCAAGGAATTGGTTCTTTTGAAGTCATTACGACATGATTTTGGATGAGGAACCTGACCACTGGACTGTGATCTGTTGTAGAGATTTTCAAACAGAATGCTTGCCAGTTTGCTCATCTGAATCCCTATTAGTCCATATTTTTCTTTTGCCTTGGATTGAAGGACTTGATAAAAATAATCAAATTGAATTAATCGGTTGCGATGAATACTTATTACAGCTTCAAGTAGTTTTGAACATTCATTACTTGTCCAAGCCCAGGGTTTGGAACCGAAACTTAGTTTATTCACAAGTTTCAGAACTTTGTAGAACCTTGGTGTAAGCTACAGCTTCCTGCCAGATTGCAGTGTAGAAGAACTCATCTGCCAAAAGTCTTCCAGAAGTTTGCATCTTCGCACGTCACCAGGCTGGTATCCAACTCATAGTATTCTTCTGTGCACAACTGTGTCTCTTAAAAATGTGAATCCCAACATAATAGATCCTATTTTTCTTTATAATTTTTTTCACTTAGGCACAATTTGTACCTTTTTTCGCAGTTGCTGGTGGTCAGCATGGCAGAACTCACATTAATAGAAGGCATTTTGCAGCTGTTGAATGTAAGCAAAAAAACAAAAAAACAAAAAACAAAACACACAAATTTCGGTTTCATGTCAAGATCAGATAATACCCAACACCTTTATTTCCAATGGAAATCTGCTCAGATGGCTTAGATGTCTCTAATCACCCGACAACTGCCTTTCTGTATTTGTTCAGTACTTGCCAGTTGAGGTTTTTGCTCACAACTCATCACCGTTAACCCTGTGACTTATGTACACGCTTGGAAATTTAAAAAGCTGCAGTAACTGGGAAGTATTGCTCATGAGATCATCCAACATGAGTATTGCAAGCCTCATGTACAAAATTTCCCTATGCCAAACAAAACCACAAGTCGTAGCTTGCTCCTTACATCGATCATGAGCTGGGGATTACAACACAATCATGTGAAATGTGAATTTTGTCGCATCATGTGAAAATGCATGCGAATTATCCTGACAGAGCAGTCTAAATTGTGACGAAATTCTGTCTGTGAATAAATCTTATTTTTTCTTCTACAAACATCACATTATCCATACGAATCAAGATTGTGAACAGAGTAAGCTGGAGACGAAGAAACGGTTTAATGATACTCAGAGTACAACAGCACCACTATGTACACCTTACGAGGAGGCATTCGTAGCCAATTATGTAAATATCATAACAAATGTGTACATCTAACTAATATGATTTAAGGTGGGCTGTGATATTTTAAGGTATTGTGCGGACGAAATCATCTCCTCTGGAGGTGGCTAATACGTTACAGGATTTTGAGCCAGAATTGAAGCAGTGAAGATATCGGCAGGTTACCGAACCTTCGGAATGAGAATCTCGGATGGAGATGAATTGTGTGTTCGGGGATAATCGACGATCTCGTCAAATTTGTGCAATGGCCTGCCGGATAGATGAAGCAGATGAGTGCAACGGTTTAACACAAAAAGATACGATTCTCGACGTGGGATTTATTATGACACGGATTGCGAAGCGAGTAAAATACATCAAACGCGAGTTGACCTACTTGCTTCAGCAATTGCTTACAATTCGAAGCTCTACTCCTCGACCTCGTTTTCGTTTCTGAGATTTGGGCTCGCAGCTGACCTTTTGAAAGAATCAAGTTTGAGGATTCTTCAAACATTCAAATCTCTGGATTGCAATGCAGAGATTCTAGTATCGGCTGCAGTGTCTTCCATGTTGAAGGAACGTTGACGCACTTCGCACCACCTGACGACATAGGTTATTTCAACTGATTTCAAGGTTTCCATTTAAACACACATTTCTTCAAGAATCACTATATCAAATGGGAAATCTTCCCTTTCAATCACAGGGGTTCCTAATCCAGCTGAGGATCTGTAGATTGAGCGATCAAACGGAACCGAAACAGTAGAAGGGGATCTAAATCCTCAGAAGCCGTTGTACAAGCTTCAATTTACATTATTACTGGATGAGCAGTGTCATGCATTGACATGATGGAGTTTGGGGTCTCAAATTTGGGAGATGGATTCACAGTGTTGCGAAGGATGTTAAGTCATCGGATTGTCCAATCATTTTGTACCTTGCCATCTTCGAAAAGTTATGGTTCACAAGGAACTTCATC